TCTAGATGTTTGTTTTAAAACCTTTCACGTTTTGCAAATTGATTATCCAGATGCTAGCAAACATTTATGGATGCTGATACAGAAAGGTTTATATAAATTTTGCACACAATGGGACATCTTGTTTTCAAATACTGAATATATATTGAAAAAGCTTACAGGAAATATCCAAAACATGGAATTATGCAATGAATAATTGAAATGTATCTATCATTTTGAGTACTTTTTATTTATACGTTTTTGCTATAATTATATATTTTATATTCAAAATGTTTAATTGCATGTTTTGTAATGAGTCAGTTTTAGTTTTTGAACATTTTAAATGTCATATTAAGTTGAAACATAAGAATTTATTATATTCAGAAGTTTGTTGCAATTTTCCGAATTGCAAAAATTCATACAGTACTGTTTACTCTCTATTGCGACACATACGTACAATCCATGATGTTCAATTAAAAGAAGAATATCAAAAACAAATATTTAATAAAACAAACTCCATATCGTTAAACGAATTGATAGATATAACAAGTGCTCCTATTGTTAACAAAAACTTAGAAACTTATGATAACAAAAAATTAGAACCTACATTAAATAAAACAGAAAATTGCAGTTTTCTTCAAGATTTTACTTCTAACATAACAAAATTAACTCTATGTTTAATTACAAAATTATATTCTCAAGAAACTTTAAATAAGAAGAACGTCCACGAAATTAAAGACATATTTCATATTTATTTATCTGACAGTTTTAAAATTTTAGAAAAAAATATGGTACTACAGGTAACATATGTCAATATTTAAATATCATAAAAAAAAGTTTTAAAAAATTTAAAAGTGAACATTATACTTTTACAAATTTAAGCAATATTAATTGTCTTATAAAACCAAACAAAATAAAAATTTACTCATTTTTAGCTCCAAAACAAAAAAATTTAAGAAACAATTGATTATATGTCATAAAAAACTTGCTATAATTCCTATGAAACTTGTTTTAAAAAAGTATTTAGAACTTCCTAAAATATTCACTCATATTGTAGAATATACTAATGAATGTAACAATAATACTGAAATGTTAAGTTCAGTATTTCATGGTGAAATATGGAAATNTATAGAGTTAAATCAAAATAAAATAACGCTACCAATAGCAATATTTTTTGATGATTTTGAGATAAACAATCCGTCAGGGTCACGAAAATCGATTCATAAGTTGGGCGCAGTTTATTTAACTTTACTCAGTTTACCTCCTCAATATTCAAGTAAATTAGATAACATTCTACTTATGCAATTGCATAACTATCAAGATCATAAGAATTTGGGAAATAAAATTTTCTCACATGTTGTTGACCAAATAATTGATCTTAGTGTTAACGGTATAACTATCAATGTAAACAAAGAGTACAAAATATTTTTCCGTTTAATGTTTATTGCTGGAGATAATTTAGGCTTAAACACAATTCTTGGATTTTCTAAGAGTTTTAATACTGAGTATTTTTGTCGCATTTGTACAGCAACCAAAACCGAAGCACAGAAACTTGTTATTGAAGAAAACAAATATATAAGAATACGCAATGATTATCCTAATTACGTTATTAATTCAAAGTTTGGAATACAAGAAGAGTGTATTTTTAATCAAATACCAAATTTTCATGTAGCAGTAAATGTATCTATAGATCCAATGCATGATTTATTAGAAGGAATTTGTAGGTATGATATGGGTAAAATTTTGAATCATCTTATTTATAAGAAACAAGTTTTTACGTTAGAAGTTTTAAATGAAAGATTGCTTAATTGTCCTCGTTTATTTAATGATAATATTCCACTGCCGCTTCACTCAGAATCGATTAAAAACGAAAAAATTATGTTAACAGCATCAGAAATGTATTTTTTGGTCAACAATTTATCGCTAATGATCAGTGATCTCGTACCGGAAAAAACACCGATTTGGCATTTATATTTGTATTTTAAAAAAATTATAAATATCTCGTGTTCACACTTACTCACTTTTAAATGTATTGATTTATTTGATCAAATCGTATTTAATTATTTGTCATTGCATAAAAAGTTGCTTAATATAGCATTTAAACCAAAACATCATAATTTATTACATTATAGCAGAATTATGCGAAAATATGGACCACTAAAACTTATGTCTTCTATTCGCTTTGAGGCAAAACATAAACAAATAAAAAANTATGCTAAGGTTATTACTTCAAGAATAAATCCTTCATATACTCTTGCTCTTAAACATCAATTAAAACTCTGCTATCGATTCGTTTGCGCTGATGGATTCTCAGACTGTTGTTTATATGATAGTAAAATATCTAAATTTACTGAAATATCAGATTATTTTAACATAAAAAAGGTGTTACTTCCAGAAATGATAGATGTTGAATTAAACGTAATATCTTGGGTTGTAATAAGTGGTACACGTTATGAAATCAACAATATTATTTGTACGAATATTCGTCACCGTTTATTTGGAAAGATTCAATATATTATTTTAAATGAAAGCAAAGAAATATTCTTTATATGTTTAAGACTTTCTACTTTAAGTTANAATTATCACAAGAGTGCTTACAAATTTGTAGAAGAAGATCAATTGTTTTGTATTAAACAGAAACAGTTACTAGATTACAAAGTGTATTTTGCGAATCAGGAAAGTTACATTTTTTGTGAAAATATATTTGCGCATTGTTAAGTGAACCTTTGAGCAGGCTGTTATTTTTATGTTTCCCGCGTAAGCGCGGACCTCGGTGCCGCGAGCGCGTTTCGGCGGCGTATTAGTCCGCGCGTTTTTCGGGCGCCTTCGGCGCTGTTCGCGACTCTTCGCGGCTATCGCCTCTTTGCGCGTAAGAAGAAGAACACGTAGCGACAAGACATGCAATATAGAAAAAACTCGCGACGACTTAACACACACGCAAGTACGTTAAAAAGGAGTTTATTGTGAAACTAGATAAGAGACCGAGATCGATCGCCCGCTGAAGTTGTAAAATAAATCATCTTTAAGCAAAGGAAGAGTCTATTTCTCCCGACCGTGTCTCTCGAAGCACTTTTTCCTAGAGGTTACACGGACAAATAGCACAGACGCAACACGCATCAATTTCTAATTAAAAAATTTTGTGTCTTGTACAAGTAAGATAAAAAGAAGTCTTACTTATAATTAAAAAATAATTAGTTTAATTTATACTACATTGTATAACTAATGTTGTATACTACTAAATTTACTAAATAAAAACATTATTTTTTTACACTTAAGTAAATAAGTTTTTATTTTGTGCTTATGTCCCTGATTAATAAAAACCAATTATTACACTTTAGTAAACGGTAATTACATTTCAAGAATATTTTGTATACTTAAAACATGATTTACTCAATAAAAAAATTATGTTTTTGTTTTTAAGCAAAAGTATTCTTAGTTTGTGTCAATATTTCTACTACATAAAAAAGAAATTTAATCTCTAAAAAACAAATAGTACTTTCTAGTAAACTATATTTATATTTGAATAATAACTGTTACTATTAATACATCATATACTTAATAGAAAACT